GAGCTCTAAGATGGCCCCTAACTATTATATGACGCGAACCCCATTTGAACGTTTTACCAAACAGTAAGCGGAGTGTTTGGTGCTCTATAGTTCACGTACGCCCACACTTGTTTCCAAATCCCCTTGACAAAATAGTAGACTAAAGTGTATATAAATGTGCATGTTGTGGCAAGAATAAAAGACCATTAAGGGTAGGGCTAACACAGACAGCTTATTTTGGATGCATTTTACAAAAGGCATACTGCATTTACAAGAACAAAAAAAAAACAGTTCAGAGCGCTATAGAGTATGTATGGTATGCAAGAAAAGGACAACTGAGGAAGCACTTGTGCAATTTCAATAAAGGCGAAAATGATGTAGGCCCGTGTGCGCAGATTCGGGTGCATGTTAAAGAACCCCAGGTGATTGAAATTCCCGGAGCCCACCACTACGGCATCTCTCATAGTCATATGGTGATCTTGAAACGTTAAACTCACCATATCAATCGATAAATCACTTGTGCTAATAATATTGTAATCATTTTGAAAGATCTGTGGATAGAAACAGCACTAAGAAAGTGGCATGGCATGCCAAGATATCGTCTGATAGGTAATCGATTGTTGTATTCAAAGCAGCATCAGTACTGGCTGTGCTATATATCATTGTTCCACGATGGAAAGCGGCATCAGAATTTTTGCGGTCATCGCCACACACATTGTGGTACATGGTGCTTTCAAGTGGCTAAGGGTAAGTGTCATGGCTTTGACACAACTAAAAAGGTAAGAAATCTCGAAAAAAAAAAGGCACGTGGCAATCACGCCAGCGTAGTTTCCGTCGAGACAGCGCGAGCTCTGTTGTACTGCTCTGCTTCACCGAAAGGAAATCACACCTCATCGCCTTCCCTGACTGGTGGAGTCCGACGAAAAGATAAAATGATATCCCTGCCTTTATTTTTATTGACGTGGCTTAGTGGCACCAGTACCAGCCTGAGAAGTGGAGTTGACTCGGTCAGCGATTAGTGTTTCACATGGTATATAGTTGCGACAGAAATATCTTGTATCTGGGGATACACGATACATTATCAAATGTAATGAAAATACTGATACAGATACTTGTCTTGCGAGGCGTATCGAGATACAGATACAAGATACCCAAAGAGTATCTTGAATAGTATCGCACACATGTATCTTGAATACTGCTCAGCCCTGCTGCACGCCTTCATCGCTTAACCAGTTTCTTGCTCTTCATTTTCAGTGAAACCCCATACCCCCGAGATAAGTTAGGCACCAGCTGCTATTCCCGAAACATTATTTGATATCATTCAGACCATGAGGCGTTATATATATATATATATATATATATATATATATATATATATATATATATATATATATATATATATATATAATATATATATATATATATATATATATATATATGTATATATACTTCTTCGACTCCGTACCTTCACCACTAATAGTTATAAGCCAACGCTTAGGTCGCAAATTTTGTTTATTCCAAAAAGCGTACCCCCCCCCCCCCTCACATCCACCCTGCCACATAATTTAAGTCACTAAGTGGTCTTGGTGTTATTTGCAGAGAAGAAAGTGAAGAGCACGCACCATGTTTCGAGTTCATCTTGCCCCCAAAATATTCGCTCCCACGGTGTATTTAATGTCCGTATGGTACATCGTGGGCATTTTGCGACACCCCGATCTGCGATGTGATTGCCACACACTTGTAGACTTGCACAAGCCTGCAACTAAGCCATCTTCACCATCTCCGTGCAAAGGGCCTCAGGCATGAGCGACAACCTGCCCTCTACCGCTGATCCCGTGGACCTTACCGACCGTTAATGCACTTTATACAAGAAGCAAATTTGTATGTGTATTATTGACACCACCACCTGCTACGCCTAAGGGAAGGATTTCGAACTAAATATAAAATAATTCAAGCCAACATTCATAGTCTTGAAAAATTCACGGTGTGTCGTCGTATCGCCAGCACTTGTGATGTCTTACTTGATTTTCTTGTTGTATACAGCAGGGAGTGTCACCACTGACCAAACTAGCAGCATATCTAGAATCCACGGAACCCAATCCGCCAGATTAAATTAACCTAGTTTTTTTGCACTTAAGGTGTCTTCAAACTTAAATAAGCTTTGTTGGGTTATGCGAAATTTTTGTCAGGAATAAAAAAGTCATGGAAGCATTCAGGGATGCCTGATATTTAGGAACCACATCGCCTCATAGAAACGCCAATAAAATATCGACTACAATGAAGGTGCCCATCTTCGCTTTATGTGCCCACTCTCATCTTTGCTGCGTAGCTTCTTACGGCATCACACCGGTGGCATCACACCGCAAAAATAACGATGCGGGACGACCTGCTCACCCTTTTACGAGTCCCTCAACGGTGAGCTGCTGCACCGCCGCGGTGGTCTAGTGGCTAAGGTACTCGGCTGCTGACCCGCAGGGCGCGGGTTCGAATCCCGGCTGCGGCGGCTGCATTTCCGATGGAGGCGGAAATGTTGTAGGCCCGTGTACTCAGATTTGGGTGCACGTTAAAGAACCCCAGGTGGTTGAAATTTCCGGAGCCCTCCACTACGGCGTCTCTCATAATCATATGGTGGTTTTGGGACGTTAAACCCCACATAGCAATCAATCAACGATGAGCTGCTGTTTTCGCAAAAAAAACACACACAAAACCATGTCAGATGTTACACTTTTAATCAGAAGTAAATAAAAAAAATTCAGGCAGTTTCGCATTAGCTATGGTAACCAAGCCCGAAAGAATTGTGGAGCCTGGTAAGCGTTCTTCTTTTCTCTTTATTTTTCTCTTTCTTTCTTTTTTGTTTCTTTGCCACTTTCTTTTTGTATATTCCAGTTCATTTTTCCTTTTTTCCCTTCCTATTTTTCTGCTGCTTTCTCTCTATTTCTCGCTTTCTTCCTCTTCTTTTTTTCATTTTTAATATTTATTTCTGGCAGCATATTAGTGCGAGTGCGCTCAATATGTTACAGATGGCTATGCTATGTGGGTTTCACCAGTTTTAACATCATCATCAAGGCTCTCAAAGACCAAGAGGAAGAAGGCGTCTCTTTGACGTGAGCGCCCTCTATAAAGGTGCTATATAGGGCTTGGCTGCGTTACATCAAGTGACGACGAGAGCATACGATCAAAGCTTACGAAAGCCTAGTCCTCTACAGTGCTCTTCAAATAAAAAGACTCCCATTCACAATTTTTTCTAGACAATTAGGTATATATAGCGCAAAGTAAGAGGTGGAGTAATTCGATGCCATATAATCAGTTGAAACATGTGTATGATGGTTATGTCTTGCGCCCAACCTCTGGCTAACAATGTTTCAGCACGAGGTAGGGCCATGCTTTATAAACGTTGCTGCATTATTATAGCAAATAAGATGGCTCACGAAATGTGCTGACAGATTCGATCAGCTGAACTGAAGAAGGGTGCAGGTGGGTTATATATGGCGGGTCAGTGCTTAGCCTTTCGCGAAGATCCGCAAGCAGCCGCTATTTCCATATGATTGAGTCAATCAACGTCAGTGCCACCACCACCGGTGTACAAGGTATATGGAGCGACATAGAAGCAGTATTTGTTCAGAGTCCGTAGGCCTGAGTCTGTGAGCCACTGTAAAGGTCATCCAGTTAAACTAAAAAAACAACAACGGACTATTGGGAAGATGCTTTTGTCTTGCTCAGCTTGTGACCTCAGAATGGCTGCATTTTCGCTTTATTGGATCAGGACTATAATTTGCGAAAATGTTTTGTCTCTATCCCTTTCTCGTACAGCATTTCGAATACGCAGGTTCACTTCCCGGTGCGTGAGATGCAACAGGCTGTATGTTCTTTTTTTGTTATTACTTTTCATGCTTACGGACAGTGTCTTGTAAGCGCGATATAAAATTGAGCTCCAGGGTCTTGAATGATATCACTATTATCGGTCCTCCAAAAGAAATGGTGAGGAATTAAGAACAAATTATTTCTCAGCTAACAAACGTTTGCTTTTTTACGCGTCGTATGCAGGAGCCAATACTACAGTTCGGAAAAACCGTACTGTTCAAGCCGATCTACTAATCAGACCTTCCTCCGAAGCAAGCGTGGCTACTGCCCATTTCGTCTCTCGAGGTGGGGAACATCGAGACGCCGGCGTCGCGTGTTGATGGTGCTCTCTGCCGTCTTTTGTTTTCTCATTGTCGTTGGTTTTGATTCGAACCAGCCGCAGAGTTCTGGGGTGTATGCGCTCACCGGCTGTTGACACAAGTCTTGCCCACGCGCCAGCAGACTGCTCGACATTTTCGAAACTGTGCCGCCTACTTCTTGCAACAAGAAGAAGGAGGCGCCGTGATGCAGAGGCCGGAGAGTGCAAAGGAGAATTTAAGAAAAATGTATAACGAATGGCACTGTGAGAAAAAGAGAGGCGGGTCTGAGATTCTTTCTGGGCAAGTGAAACATGGCTCGAGACTGGCGGCGCGCCGAGAGGAGCAGAAGCCCGGGTCACGAATTAACACGTGCCGCACTCGCTGCCGACACACTGTCACGAGAGCCTGTGGCAGGCGCGTGAGCCTCGCGACCGCGAAACGGGCGCTTTCCCGCTGAAACACCGGGCGAACCGAAGCTCCTTGAGGTGGGAGCAAAAAAATACAGCATGTCACTCCCGGCATTCTCGGAAGCGTGGCGGCTCGTGAGGCAGCGCGTTGACCCGCGTCTCAAATCGCCCCGTCATGCCCTTGTGAGACGAACAGCAGCAGCTCTTTGACTCGACGCGTTCAACGACATACACAGCGGAGTCCCCTCCTCGCTCCCTTAAAGAAGAGTGTCCCTCCATGGCGACGAGAGAAAGTCATTCCCTCTTTTTTCTTAATCGCGACCGGGCATCTCAGTCATCCGGTGCGAAATCAAGCAGCAAGAAGGCGAAAGGAGGAGGGAGGGAGAAAGCGGCCTTACGGAATTTAGGCCGACTCTCCCCGCGGGGGTAACGGCGGCCAGCCTTGCCTGGGCTGCCTACCAGCGTCGCGCCACGAAAACCGATGCAGACCGGCGTCAATTGCAAACGCTGAGCAGGCTCCGCCGCGTAGTGCACGCTCTTCCGTCATGGGATGGCCGTCGGCCGCGATGCTGCTGCTCGTCGTCGCTCTCCTCTGCATCGCCGCTCGGGGCCCACAGGCGGCCGAGGCGGCCGCGGCCACCAAGCAGCCCGCCAAGTTTGAAAGCACCAAGATCACCACGGCCTTGCCGGCTTCGACCGCCGCAAAGCTGCGGGCAGCCCCAGTGGACGATGACGGCAAGAACGACGTCCAGGACAGGCCTGTCACCAGCGGCGTCGAGCTAGAGGATTACGATGACGCTGCCGACGAGCTGCCAAGCACAGACTTGAAGGCACGGACCGAATTGTCTGCAACGCCTGCCGATGAAAGTGACGATGAAGATGACGAAGATGACGACTACGATTCCACGGACGAATTCGATGACACGACGCAACCGAGCGAGTCGACGACCAGTTCCACGCCGACCACTGCCAAGGCAGTGGGTTCCACTCCCACGGCAGAGAAAAACACTGTGACCAAAAGCAGCGGGGAGCAAACGCTGCTGGCTGCTGCTAATGTCACAGAAGTTAGCACAGTGCCGGCCACTGAGCCGTCTGCCATGAGCCACGTCGCGTCTTCTGTGACGGCAACAGCGACGACGACTACTACTTTAGCCACAAGTCCGTCGACCATGATTACAACAGTATCTTCCGAGGCAATCGCTGTGCCAGCCACTTCTACAGAGGGCGGCACAACGCTGAAAACCGATGCGACTACAAGCGCCGTCCAAAGTACGACATTACTAGTGGAACCTACTTCTTCAGTGAGTGGTACTACTGAGAACCCCGACGTAACCACAGCGGTCAGAGATGGTTCGGATGTCACAGTGAAGTCAGATGTGGAAGCAGAATTCAGTGGAGACAACCAAATCGCAACTTACGAGGGAGCAGCCTCCTCACTCTCCGTGAGGGCCGTCGAGTCTACTTCTTCTACCACCACGACGCAGTCTTCAACCACCGAATCCACTACCACAGAATCAACTACTACGGAGTCCACCACTACCGAATTAATGACTACGGAAACGACGGAGTCCACTACTACAGAAAGCACGACAGCAGAAACGGCGAGTACAGAAACATCAACGACAGATTCTTCTACAGCTTTGTCTGACGAAGCGTCGACGAATACCGATAGCACCACCGAGTCTGATTCCTCGACCTCAAGTGAAACGACATCCGCAGTAACCGGAATGGAAGGCTCGACTGGAAGTGGAGCGAGAGAAATGGAAGATTTGGATGACGCTGGAGGTACGACTACTCAGAGTGCGTCAGAGATCACCACGGTCAGGGATTACGAGCCCGATTTGAACGCTGTTATTAACCAGTTCATGACACAGATCCTGCCTTTAACAACGCGGTTTCTCTCTGACACCAACGTTTCTGCTGACTGCGTAAACCATTTGTGGAAAGTGTACCAGGGATTTCGTCGGCAAGAAGCTTGGGCGCTCAGGTGTAAGTACCACTTTCCTTTATTTTTCCAGCCTTTGTCGTTTGAAGTGGGGTGTGACTAATAACCCTCTATGAGCGTGTTGTTTTTTTTTCTTGCTCTCATCTTTCGCTTTCGAAGAGAGAGCGTCGTAACTGTGAAAGTTGTTACAAACACGGCCGGCCAGCTTCTGTCTGGTGCACGTATTTCAGAATTTTAGCAATGGTTTATGATCTATAGGTGAGAGTCGATAACCATCGTGTTCCTATAAAAGTACCAGTTTTCTGTTTGGTTTGAAAAAAAAAAAGCCGCTAACACAGACCTTAGATCTCAATATTCCAGTGACGTGATTTTGATGCCAGGTGTGAAGGAAGTGGAGGTAGTGCCCTGCTGAGCTGACCCAGCTAAATGGCAATACCTCCCTTCGCCGTCGTATACTGACGAGTAGACGAGCCGCTAAGGTATTCTTTACGTTATCCGTGACTAAGTTCGTGCCGTAAAATGCTGCAAGAGGAGAAAGGCTGATTGATGAGATCACTGGCCTTAGCAGCCCTTCGCTTCTGAGCGTTTTATTGCAAGCTTAGTATATACTGTACAAGAATAAATTATGCAATCACTTTGCTCGTACAAGCGTGCCCATGATTATGGTTAGTGCGTGGCACTCTCTTTCCTCAAGCCTGAACCCTTTCGGACCGGTTCACTGTGAACCCACCATGATGTTTCGGTGATTTGCCGTTAGGAACGCATTCTGTTGTATTTTGACTTGATTATGCCACATATACAGATATAACTATGAAATTATGAAGTATAGTGCGTGTCAAAACCATCAAATGATTACGAGGTATGCTTAATGGAGGTCTGCAAGTTGCTTTTGGCCCCTTTGCATTCTTCCGTTCGTTATCATGCACGACATGCATACACGTCCTTTTGCATTTCACTCGCAGTAAAACGCCGCAGCTGAGGCAAGCATTATTTCGTTACCTTATGCTTAACGATGTGATGCCATAGCTTTTAAGCTATTTCGGAGAATACACATATCCAAATCTTGCAGCTATGCGCCCGTATATAGTGGCCTAGCGATTCGTACGTTTGAGTGTAAAAGCAGACGATGTTGTAATGTGAAGTACTTAACGAACACTATACTTAATTGGAAAAGCGGCCAGCCAAAGCAAAGTGCTCTTTAGGGTGAAAAATAGTGTTTAGTTGAATCAAATGTTTTAACTAAATTTAATACGCATCGTTTAGATAACTAACTAATACTCCAGAAATGTCCACGATGGTTTTCCCGCTTTTACTAATACAATAACTTGAACGCTAAGCATTTAAAACTAGGATTTTTCTGGGTAATTCCTATCCAATGCTTTAACACTGAAGACGGGCAACGATAGCGTACTGCTTGGAGATTGTTAAGGTTGTTTAACATCATGAAACTGGCTAACGAATCATAGTTGACTTTGTGACGGGCTACCGTTTTCGCACAAGCATTGTAATTTTTTTTTCGTTATTTTCAACGCTATAACAATTCTTATGTGAAGTATTTCAGTACTTCACATACGTGACTACCAGTGTTTCAGCAATATTCATTTAAATAAAAGTAAACTATTGCTCTATATACCCCAGCCTTCACTCTGCCCCACCCCGCTACCTCTTTATTTCAATGTTGTCTTGCATCGACAAATACGCGCTGGCGCACTGCTCAGAAGAACGCCATGCGACTTAGTAGATCAAGTGACCGGCCAACGACAGACCAGCCATAAGTGATTATTCAATCCAAAGCAAATTTTACCTCTATGCTCTCCTTCAACTCTAATCACTCTTTTTATCATAACTTCATGTTCCAATTCAGTTGTGGTTGATTTGCACGGACGAACAAACTTTTATTCACGCCCTACAGCGTAACAGTAGAACCTACAACTCAACCACGGCCCGTTATCCTGCAATATCGTTATGCAGATGTATGCAGGAGCGCACGCGATTATGGGTTACGATCAGCCCGTGTGCCCGCGGATCGCAGCAAGCATGAGGCCGAGTTGCCTAACACCGCTGATTGGCGAGCACAAAACTAGGGCTATAATCACCTTAGCAGTATTTTACCGCGTAACTCCTTGTGTCTTGAGCGATGCATTGGCTATCCTTCACTTCCCCCTCTCCCGCTTCACACTCCAAGACCTTTTGACATCAGCGATTCATGTCAAACGAGTGGATCTCTACAACACAAGTTAGCTTTCATAATTTAGCAGTTTGCAGATAAACTGTGTTAAGGGTATATGAACTGTTTTGTAGAGTGTTGAGTCGTCTAATAATATATCGCTACATTGGGCATTGCATCATTGAAGCAAAAACGCTGTTGTATCGGTCTATAACTTATTTGCTCGCAAAGTTATTGTGTGTTGCATCAAGGGACGTATATAACAAAAGCATGTACCGAGCACGCTTCCGTACAATGCCACGCAAGGTGACGCTAAAGAAATTAACAATAGAGAGATGGAAACGAGCGAGAATTCCGCCAGGGAGGCGCGTGTTTTATTCATGCGTCGCCGGTAACTGGCCATCAGCCAGGAGGTACAGCGTCCTTGTCCAGCTGTGCCAGCGGAAGGGCAAGCCGTGCGTCGGTGCAGGGTCTCGCCGATCACTTCAAATAATGCCCGTGTGGACTGCACGGCAGCGCAGTGCACCTATTGGCACGCAGTGCTTCGTCGTGTCGAAACAGTGTCTGACCTCCTGAGCTCGCTCGGCGTTTTCAGAGGATCGGTGTATCACGACCGACGCACGTAAAAAAACTGTGCACCCCCAACCTTACCCCTCTCCCCCCTTTTTTTCCGTACGGCTATCAAGCCTTCATGGCGTAAACAGCGTTATTCCTGTGTAACTAGTCGGCGTTCAACGTGATTATTATTTGTCAGCACCCCAACGCGTGATTCTGGAGGTGTCTATATGAGGCCTCTAACGCGCTGTGAACGCTGTTGAATGCTACGGGATCGAGTGATATTTCCGGCCGGTCACTTTAGGTGACACTTTCACTGTGTAAGATTTTACGAGAGTAATGGAGGACGTGTCGCTGAAGGGACAATGCTTCTGGCACGTTGCCTCAACACAGACAGTGTTATAGAACGCACTGAACTATGGTAGAGTCCGTTAGTCATGTGAAATCTCGCAAAAGTTAAAAAAAATTGGTGGTCGAAAAATTGATGTAACCCCCGTAAAGAAGACAATAGGACTAATGATGCAAAAGCCAGCGTTCAACCAAAGGTTGAGTGTACCTCACTCTGTGATGAGTAATAACACTGAGTTAACTGCTCTCACTGTCTAGTAATAACGACGTACCTCTTCAATGGCGTTTTTATAGTGGTTACATTCACAGTTAAACTAACTTCTTTCAGGCACAGATTTTCGGGTCCCCATACATGTGTCAGTACAAAGAGCCATCTGGAAATGCGAGCGCGAAGCTTCCATGCACGTGATTCGACAGGACTTTCCGGCAAAGCTATATATACATTCTCGCGGAAGCCCTTTTTCTCTTGTCGGGTATTTTCTTTTACTGCCGCAACATGGCGGGACCAACCTCCGTGTTTATACATACAGCTCCTTTTTAAATTCTTTGGATACATGGCGCACTCGCTGTAACAATGACAGTAAGGCAGCGTTTCCTTCTCACTACAACGTTCGTAGCACATCCTCTGGGGCACTATTAAATAAGCGCTCTGTATAGAGCTAGGTAAAATAGCAGTAAAATGGTGGAAACCATGTGTCCTGCTAGAGGTATTCCCGGCTACACCATGGGTATTCAGAAAACTTACGAGAAGTGAAGTAGTAACACGAGTCTCGAGTGGTTGGAAAGTCTCTGTGTACATGAGGTGCGTTAATTATAGCAAGGTGCACTTCAAAAGCGTTTAGTTTTGATCTCAAGTTTACTGCTTGAATATACTGTGTGCATGCCTTTGAAACCAACAGAGCGAAATTTTGATGCAGGTATGGCCATACATTACAGCTTGCACGCTGCAGGCCATATCAAGCATTGTAGATATTTTGGTCTATAATTTAAGATTGCCCACCTCACTGATATATTGACGTGTTGTCTTACCTCATCGATGTGCCATGTCTTTGTCTAAATATAGATGCGTTTCAAAGTTGATGGCAAAGTCATTCCACATTTTAAGACAATAATGAGGTTGTTTTAGGAGTAGACGCAATAAAAGCCAACCTACAGTCTGCTCAGCGCCAAAATATTCGACTGAAAACTGTGCATCGTTCGTAGGCAGATTGGCCTATGAATGCCGTAACGGCAAATTCACTCGTTTTACACGCTGCCTTTGTTGGCGCAGATTTTCACCTATATAAATATAACATTCGCTACAAATACAGCTTTGTCCCGTCCACTCACCTGCAGCTTCTGCTTGCGATGTATTACCACTCCCAAGCGTACACCATGGTGTCTTGTGATGTTGTACTTTTTCAGCCTCTCACTCTGTTAAGTATATGAGAGAATGACACAAGAGACAGCGGGGTGAGTGCCTGAGTCCAAGTGTAATGTTTATATATTGTAATATACGCTGGTAATACAGGCGTAATGTAAGCTATCAAGCGCCAAGTCTTGTTTATTAAAATGGGAGCCTTCACCGCTGATGAAGGGTATTGCAAGTTGCTTGGAGCAACCAGTAAAACGTGTCGTATCCTTAGTGATCCACCTCACTAATATTAATGTATAATGTTCTAACTCCCTGTGCAATATTTTACGAGAATTTTAACGTATCTTTTTTATGTAAGCTTCTTTAGGAAGATCTGGCGATATCCAAAATTATGCCACTCGAGTACATGCCAGCTGTCAGTAAAAGCAGCGCACTTTAAAAAGCTGAGAGGGAAACTGAACTTGTTTGTCTTGCTGTATTACATTAAAGCGCGCGTCGCCTTTGAACTGTTTCTCGAGCATACAGGTACGTGTGCGCCTACTACGCAAGATGGAACAAAAATTGTACATATTCAGAAATATGGCACAACACTGTATATAGATGACACACTTGCAGAGACT